TTATTATTATTATTATTATTATGGGTTGTGTCTGATTTTAAATAGTGAGGAAATTATTATTGAACCATGTTAAGATTATATATGAATTTAGCGAATTAGCAACTATGTTGATGATTTATGTCTGAATTTGTTTGATTTTTAAAATCCCAAAAAAATTGGGATGTATATTAAGATATCTCATAACATTTGAGTTTTCTCATCGTTTTATTTTGTACAAAATGGAGTATTCTTATTCAAAAGATTATGCTTATCACATTATCATGATATATTATTAGATATAGTTTATTTATTTGAAATTCCATTTTTTTTTTATATTTGCATTTTGACTTTATTGTGCAATTTATTGTTCTTTAACATTTAATATCTGTAACAATACGTCATATAAAACAACTATTTCAGAATTTGAAACATATCATCAATTTTATTTCGGAATAAGAACTTTTAAGTCGTCGCACTAATCAAATTAAAATGCAAATATATTTTTATATAAAAAATAATAATTATTGCAATTATGGATATATACCAAAAAAAAAAAAAATAAAATAAAAAATCTAAAGCAAATTTTGGAAGACCTTCTGATCATTGAAGTTATTATTGCAATTATAGGTGGCGTGAGATTATTAAAATTTAAGCCCAATTTTTCGAATTTTGGGATGTTCGACAAAAAAATTTCAGTTTTTCAAAAATTTCAAATGATTTAATAAGTGGCACCATATTGTGAAAATTTTCAAATAGTTTCTATCTTTAGTTATATTTTTAGTAAGCAGGATGTTAAAATGATTTTTTAAGTTACTATTTAAGTATTTTTTAGTTCCCTCTTTATATATTAATAAATACATATTTATATAATTCGGATATTTTTATAGATTATATATTAGGAAAGATTTTGCATGATCTTATTATGTTATTTTTTTTCTAGGATATCGGACGTGTATGGACAAGGATGGAAACGTGCATGGCAAACAGATCAGAGAGAGAGAGAGAGAGAGAGAGAGAGAGAGAGAGAGAGAGAGAGAGAGAGAGAGAGAGAGAGAGAGAGAGCAGAAGAAGAGGAAGAAGAGGAAGAAGATATCACCTTCCATGTTTCAACATTATAGTAAAGAAGATCAAAAGAGAAGAAAAATACTTGAGGACGACTTTAGCAAAGAAGATATAAATACCTACTTGAAGATCAATTGAAAACCGCTGAGATTATTATCATTCACATAAATTTGAGCTTTGATTGAGAGTTCAAGTTTTTGTTTCGCTGTTCAGTTTTCGGTATTCTTACGTCATCGAAGAACTGAAGCTACTTTTGTTTGGTTCTTCTTATTTTATTCAGACATTTTTGTGTTAAATACTTTGGGATTAAGTATTGGGTTCGCTCGAGGGATTCGAGTGTGTTAAGTCTACGGGACGTGGCCAGAGAAGTAGTTGGTAGAATCGAGTATAATTGTGGCTGGGCTAAAAGGAAGTTATAGTTTTTGTAAGTCCAAACTATGCACCTGTGCGCAATCAGCTTATCAATGAAAGATTTCTGAGGAGTAGTGAGACGCTCCCCAAGAGTTTTTATCTCTTACATGTGCTTTCGCTATTTCAACATTATCTGGTGTTGCAACATGAATTGAAAATTTATAAATCTTCCGCGTTCTAGCACAATTGAGCACACTCTATGGGTATTATCTACGTTTCATTTGGCACAGAGCAATGTTAATGTTCTAATCACAGGATAAAAATCTTTGGGCCTTTGTGTTGGTCCATGAATCACAATGGCATGTCAGTTTCGCGTCCTCCGTACCTCGATGGATCGAATTATGGATAAGTTCCATGAGGACAATTTTCCTTCGCTCTCTAGGAAAAGAAACATGACAATTCATTGAATCAGACTGGTATATACCTCTCACTCCGAAAGCTCCTTATGAATCCAAGACAGGTGAGTCATCGAAATCGAAATCATCAACCTCGGCAGCTTTTGTTTTTGTCGAGAAACCAAGGGATCTTTGGACTGTTGCGGAAAGACAAGTAGAAGAAGCCAATTTTCGAGCTTTATATGCAATCATGTACGTTGTAGATCCAACTCGCCATAAGCTGATTATTTCGTTAGTGGTTATATACTGAAAGCTTGGCTTTAGATGATATTACACTTTTACCCTTTATGAATGTGAAACATGTTAGATTAAACAAGTTCTATGTTCTTTAGTTTCAGGTCTTGTATTGAAAAAACTCCTAGATAGTATGGGTCGTCATCGGGCGATCCGAAGATCATGCTATCAGTTACTCGCAAAACAAGAATAATGGTTCACAACCTAGATGAACATGATTACCCCATCAGAACGGTTGTAGTGTCAATTTTACAGTTTGTCTTGAGTGATTAGTTGTACTAGTACATTTATGTATGGAACAAGATCCCAGAGAGGAGCAGTTCGTTTTATACTGATCGTCGTAAACGAACTAGGTCTCAGTTAATTACTGCGTGCTCTTAACCCATAAGATATTAAAAAGGCATATATGTATAGTACTTATTATTTTGATTCACATGGGTGAGGCTTAGTGAACTGGGCCAATAGACCCACTATCTTGGGTAATACTGCTACATGTAGAATGTGCTGTTAGGATATTTACGGTCACCATGTACGTTTAGTTTGATGATAACCCCGGAGTGAGTTCATTAAGGATTATTATGTAACGCCCCGTCTTTTATTAATAAAGGAAAAATATTAGCCTCCGAGTGTAAGCTATCCTTTATTAATAAATGCTCGATGTAAGTTCCGAGCCTAAGTTATTTAGTTATTCAGTTATTAAGTTTCAAGTTCGACTTTAAGTCGAGAGTATACTGGGTTTAAAGTTTATTCAGTAACCGAGTCAGTTTTAGTAATTTATCCCGATCCGTTTGTTTTATAAATGGATATTAGTAATTGCTTATAAGCCAGGATTAATTATATCGAGTCGACATATTATTCAAGGCCGAGAAAACTCGAGAAATTGTCGAAGTTGAGCCGCAATTGGAACCGAACAAGTCCGGCCCGTTTGCACCCGCATTTAGCCAATATACGAGCCAAATGCTTAGCCAATGCCCAAATGAAATTTTTCTAGCCAATGCGCCGGCCCGATACTCAAGCCTAAGACATTACCTAAAGTCCAATTGATTTTAGCCATTTTGGGAAAAATTTAGTAAAAACCGAGTTTAGCCCAAAAGTGTCGTGTCCAAATTTTAATTCATCTTTGGAAATATTAATATCTAACATGGTGTAGTCTCGAAAAGTTGGACATTTGGTGTTGTGACTAAGCAAATTAAAGAGAAATTTTTACACATACTAATGAAATAAAAAAAAAAAATTAATTTTACCTCCCTAGAATAATTAATAGGATATATACCTAATCAAACTATTTTATTTACGTGATTGTCTAAATATCAGTTACCTTTTGAAAAGTTCTCTATCCATATCAGTTATCCTTTGGTGGCGTGATTTACTCATTTAATTCCTTAATTTCTGCAACTGGAATTCTTTAATTCACGCAGCTCTCAGGCGGTATATATTGAGTTTATGTTAGTATATATTCAGTATATGTGCGCAACTGGAATTTATTAATTCACGCAACTCTCAGGTGGGATATATTGAGTTTATATTAATATATATTCAGTATATGTGCGCAACTGGAATTTCTTAATTCACGCAGCTCTCAAGTGGTATATATTGAGTTTATGTTCGTATATATTCAGTATATGTGCGCAACTGGAATTCCTTAATTCACGCGGCCGGTATATATTGTGTTTATGTTATTATATATTCAGTATATGTTGCAATGAAAAAATGTCTTCCATCAAAAATTGTACCTTCCTCTTTTTTTCTTGTATACATAAAAGTATATATATAGTTTAAAAACATATTACAACAGATTATTTAATATAAAACCATAAATATACACAACACCAACAAAAAAATTCAATTTATGCTAATTTTAAATAGATTTTATGCAAAAATATTATGCCTGGCGATAAATTTTTTTTTTATCATTTACCGAAAATATACTGAATATAAATCATACATATACACATGTGTATTTCTTCGTGTAAGCCTCATCAATTATTGTTTGCCTTTTCTTGTTAATTTCTTCTCACATGTCTTGTAGTTGTGAAAATCAAATCAATTAATCCAGAAATTTAATTTGGTGCAATTTTCCAAAGCTAGTTTTTTCTAAAAAACACATAAGAAAATGAAAAACCATCCAATAAAATTATATTAAATAGATAGGATTTTTCAACACAAGCTTTCCCAAACACATTTCAGACCAGTTGTAACACTCACTCTCTGCTAAAATGAGTCAACATTGCCATGCACACGTGGAGATTCAACATACAAGACATATTGGTCAAGAGGAGCATGCAAATGAGGACAAAATATTTCCTACTTTATGTCAAACTTTATCTTTAGATCCAAGAGCAAAGAATGTTGCCACTTGTCATCATCCAAGCAAAGCAAGAAAGGAGAATATGCTTTACCCTAGAATAACACATATATAAATGATAGTCTCATGCTTGTTTGTATTGTAGCCGACATTATCCAAATATTGTGGATCTGAACTTTGAGTTTCATTGAAAGAAGATGAATACAATATTCAATGCATTGATGTTTGTTTTTATGTTTTTAGCTACATTTTCTATCATGGTATCAGAGCAGGTGTTTACCTGAC